AACAATTCTGTGAAGTGTTTACAATGTTTTAATTTTCTGAGAGTACAAAAAAAGACACGCTGTTTATTTGATATTTGTTTTATTGATTGCTATACCAACAGAATGCATGAAATAACCTTAAATAGATTTGGTAATATGCAGCATATATATTCATGACTTTTTACCTTTCTACGAAGTATGCCCTATTCACAATGCTTAAATATTTTGAGAGCATGGATAAAGACATATTGTTAGTTTGATACCTGTTTCTGTGGTAAATTAGTGTTTCCAGCTGTGTACATTTTTTTTTTTTTTTTTTTCTGGACTGTTTTTTTTTTTTCGCCCGCTCGCACCGATTTTGGTGTCCCCAGAGGATGTCATCCATAAAAATAAAAAAGTGTGGCCTTATTTGATTACCGTATTTATTTAATTATTTTTTCTCAGTCGCCTTTGAAGCTTGTTTTTTAAGTAAATTCTGATCGTGGCAGTGTCGTTGTAATATCAGCCTTGTATTCCGCCCAGGTCCCCCCGACCGCTGCGCCACCTATCCATGTTTAATATTTGAAGACAACTTCGATACTTTGGACCTGAGCACGTGGGAACACGAGATTACGGCGGGAGGAGGAGGGGTAAGCGACGTTTTTAAGATTTTAGAGAAAGGGATGTTAATCTGAAACGAAAATATAAACATGTAAACCATATCAAAACTAAAAATCCTTTCAATTTAGAAAACGTGTTCTCTACGAAATCACGGACCAGTTCCGAACATTTTTGCTCATTTTCTTTCATTACTTTCTCCAGAACTGGGAGTTCCAGTACTACACTAACAACAGGTCGAATACCTACGTCAGAGACGGCGTATTATTCATAAAACCAACGCTCACTGCAGATAAGTTTGGAGAAGCGTTTCTGTCCTCAGGACGGTTAGATCTGTGGGGTAAGTCTGCGTATACGGCAGCACGAAATTGCATGTGCTACCACTCCTTTTTCCTTAATGCATGCAGTTTCTTGCTATATACCGCTATTTTATATTTAGATTAAAAAAGCAGATATTTAATTACATCATTGTAAAATAAAGGAATCGACCAAACTAGAACCTATACATGGACAATTGGCATTTAAGATCACAGAATAATAACATGCTTCTTGATATAAATAACATTTGCATATTTCAAAATGATTCTCGCCGTTTCTGTCATTCAGCTATCTTTCTTTTCAAATTCAGGTTCAGGGCCCGCTGATCGGTGTACGGGCAACGCGTTCTACGGCTGTGAACGCCATGGTAACGCTAATAACTATATTAATCCCATCCAATCAGGGCGACTGAGGACGGCACACAGCTTTGACTTCCGGTACGGTAGAGTGGAGTTAGAAGCTAAAATGCCGACCGGAGACTGGATATGGCCAGGTAGGAACGTGAAATTAAATGCCTTCTTTTTTATCTCTGTCATTCATATAGATATTTCGATTGTTAACACGGTAGCCATTTAGGGAAATCATCGAAACTTGCGTTATTGTGTCGCACTTTTTATCACAGTTAGGCCTACATGCTGTTTTATTTTGATAACTTATAGCCTAATTATCATCGTTAAACTGAACCCTCTCCCTCTCCCCACTCTAGCCATATGGATGTTACCCACCAACCAGGCCTACGGTTCCTGGCCAGCGTCCGGGGAAATCGACATCGTAGAATCACGTGGTAACATGTTTCTAAGGAACGGAGCAGCGTCCGTCGGGGTGGACACAGTGACGTCAACATTACACTGGGGGCCGTATGTCCAACTGAACGATTTTTTCCGCACCACAAGCAGTGTGTAAGTTTAATGGCAATGAGTGGACACAATATCTTCACGGTAACCCCATGTAAAAGAAATGTGAATAAAAAATAACTTTGCTGTGAATATCACTCGAATTTTATATGTTCAATTTTTAGCAGTGACATCTTTCTTGCAGAACCTCACCTTTATATAATTTTTTATATATGAAGTTTGCATTTATGTCTAATTTCAGCACATCGCAGTCAGGGACGTTTGGTACCGGTTTTCACACTTACGTTTTGGAATGGGACGAAAAGAGCATCAGGTAGAGTATATACACACTCCATGACAAGTACAGGGGTATAAATAACCCTGAGCACGCCGGTCATAGAGCAGAACTTATTTTGACGAGTTTGGGACGTATTGCCTAGGAACAATACATAATATGGTTTCTCATTAAGCGAAGACAGACAATATACCGAGTCAAATATTATGTGGCGTGCTTAGGGTTCTGTAGACATTCTTTATAGCGTCAACTGCATGGATTCTATATAAATTTGGAAATGATTTTATCTGGTTATTTCTCATGCCAAGTATGGGTGTGGCCCACATTGTCTGGTTATCAATATGCTTGATAAAAAAATACCGCGCCTCTGTCGTCATTGTGGGTCTTTCCACGATGCTTTTACCACAATAATAACAAGACAATGGCAATGTGGAAGGTGCACTCCATTGCAGTGAGCCGGCACTTCATATCTGTCATTGCCGCTCCCTACCCATGCAGTGTCACGTGTTGTATGTCACGTGGCACAGGGCGGGGGGAAGTGTGTCTGTTTAAACAATCGTGATAAAAATGGCCCGAACTCATAGCACAGTGATCACATTTTTTCAGGTCCTCCGTTGACGGCATTGAACTTCTCAGTGTTAGCCCCGGGGAGGGTGGATTTTGGGAGATGGGAGACTTCGCCGCCAGGGCCCCGGGGATAGATAACCCCTGGGGCACTAACGCCCCCAATCGCCGCATGTCCCCTTTCGATCAGGAGGTAAGACAGGATATATATATATATATATATATATATATATATATATATATATATATATATATAGTATTGTTTTAGTCACATTCAATATAGGCCAGCAAGTTTTAATCTAATCTGCTTTGTTTGTCTGACCATGAATTCTTTATGTTCCCTAGAGAGACACGAAATTCAGCAAGCTTGTAAAATGTTCTGCGTCTCATTTCAGTTCCATCTCATAATGAACGTTGCCGTTGGGGGGACGAACGGTTTCTTTAGCGACGGCTGGACGAACGGCGTCTCTCCCAAGCCCTGGCGTAACACCTCGCCTACGGCTACGCGGGACTTTTGGCAGGCGAAGGACGCTTGGTACCCTACGTGGGTCGGCGAGGAGGCCGCCATGCAGGTAAACTATGTCCGCGTCTGGAAGGAGAAACCTGATCCTACACAATGACATCGTGGACGGTTTTATTCATTGGATTCAAAAATGATCTGAATATATGCGTCAATACTAGTCATTTTCCAGACGTGAAGTAAGCATGAGTTAGTTAAGAAGGAATCGTGTGTTTGCAGGACAGGTTAATTTGGGAGTGAAGTTTACCGGTGGCAAAGACTGGTGGTAGGTGCACTTCCCTCTGCAGTTAACTTTGAGGGGGGAGGGGGGGGCTGGTGTTATTCCATATGATGGTTTGCTGTTAGTGTGTCTTTGCCTCTACTTTGTAATCACCTCTAGTCTAGGGATAGGTTATCAACAAAATGGAAATCATCTAAATAATAAACTATTCAGTGTAAGTTGTACTTACAGACATTTACTGTTGTTAAGTGCCATATTATTACGTATATGATAAACGCACAGACTGTACACGCACCAGCAGAAGCCGGTTTATCATTTACAATAAAAATTTTAGCATTTTGATGAATTAATTAAGCCTCTGTATGAAAGTACATGTACTTTGTACAGGTATTTGCTGATAAATCCTCCACATCTTTGTTCTACACAGAGCTGTTCACTAGGAATATATCTTTTATTTTTCTACACAGAGCTGTTCACTAGGAATATATCTTTTATTTTAAGGGTGGTAATCAAACCACCAATTTAAACAACAAAGGAGATCAAAATAGTATTTAAGAATCACATCACCGTTCTTACCAAAAATGTGATGGAATATTTGCCGAATGTTTGTTTACATTTCATTGCTTTTATGTTTGACTTCATTAAAAAATGAGATTTTTACGTTGGTAAAAGAAACAGGTGTATATACATGATATATGAGTGGCAGATGTTGGTTTTATTACCTTGAAGAAAAGGGCGTGGGTTTTAGTTTTATTGGATGGAAAAAAGGTTGGACATATATATATATTTGATACTATTGACAATAAAAACATTGTGTTTTAATTATAGAATAAAGTGTTGTTGTTGAAAGCTTTGTATTAAGCTGAATGTGAATAAGGAATACACGAAGTACATGTCTCCATTATATTTTCACTTTCTAGCTAGTAAATTTCATATGACCTGTATTGAACAAGCAGCATGTTGTCTGCAATATTTAACTCAGCGGGACAATATACAATGTATTCTTGGGTGGAATCTAATAAAATGAACGTCTGTCTTTTGATTATGTAATATACGCTTAATTTTTTTTTTTAATTTCTACGCTTATGTACCAGTAGTTACTTCGACTTGTGAATGACTTGAGAGCGTGAGTTTGAAATAAACTGATATTTCATTAACCAGACCTGTAAATGTATGCGACACACATGAGAGGGCAAATGTGCCGTGAAATAAGAAAGGGCATGCTTTATAAATAAACGGACATACACGAACACAAACGGAAAGACACAAACTCACTAACACAATCACAACCTGGACGATAGTTAATTACCCCTTAACACCTTCAGTGGGCGTGCTAAGCCGCTTAAGTTGATTGCAATTTAGTGAGAATCCCCTTGGAGATAAGTCGATCCACAGTTAGTACGACAGGGTCTGGGAATGGTCTCTTATTTGAGCTGTACATAACAGATCTAGACCTTTAGACCACTACTGTGACCTTCCTAAATAGGTCTACTGGAACAGTATGTGTTCCTCTGAGACTGAGCACTGTTCACTAGTGTCAGTAATAGCGCCGTCCGTATGTGATACAACTGGTGTCTCCTCTTTGAATCACCCCCAACCACCACCACCTGCAGATACTGAATGTTGCCCGGACCCTGCACCCCAGGGTCAGAACCCTCATAACGGACCCCAATGACCTGGAAGTGGGATTGGACCATGTAAATGAGGTGTTAAATATCCGGCGTTGGGACAGGGTGCTATTGTTAAAATAAAGCAAACACCGCATGGACAGCAATTTTATTTCCATGGTTACCGTGACAGGCCGCAGGGACAACCCACAGTGCTGCGCAGGGTAAGTAAACTTAGATTCCGGCAGCACTGTATATGCCGTATTTGCAAACATGTACCCTGTACTGTTTACAGTGGTGTCAGGGGTCAGGGATCCTGGCTCCCCAACCTTTGATTTTTGAAAAAAATCACACCAAATTAGAACTTTGACTAGCTGAATCATAGTTATAAACCGCACCAAATGGCAGCGTTGGCCCTCTAAAATACCAGAAATTGTCGGGCCCTTCAGCAGGCTCCGAACCCCATGCCAAGGGGGGTGGGGGTGGGGGGAGGTTCGGCTTCGCATCCGCGGCATGTCATTTCTAAAAACCGCCCCCACCCCCTTCAAATAATCCTGGATCCGCCTCTGGTTTATGTTTATATGCGCAGTAAACAGACTGCACGCGCACAAGCAGGTGCATCAGTTGCGTTGAATAGTTTAGTATTTTGATAAATAATTTGAGTCAAAATGTAAAATGACTCTATATTTGCTGAAAACTCGGCTGCATCCTTCTGCTGCAGCTGCTACACAATATTTTCATAAACAATATGTATTTTATATCAATGGTGGTAATCAGAGTATCAATATAAAATTGTACAACAAAGCGCCTAAAGAACATCATAGTACATATTGGCTGATTCAAAAACACTGGTGCATTGTGGGTTCGGCTTGTTTGTGATTTGAAGCAATGCTGCAATGATAGAGAGGTCTGACACTGCAAAAAACAACTTCAAAATCAGACATGCATTGAACTGAAGTAACCTTCACCGAAAATCAAACTATAAAATTACATTATGGAGATGAGAGTCATGCAAAGTCTTACTTTTCATACAAATTAGTTTTTGGATTACATTATGCTTAAACATTCATGACCCGCTCAACAGTTTTGGTTCACATCACTTTTTTACGTCTAAATAATAAAAGTAACATGGCTTATATCAAATTATCCAGTCTGTGCTCAACGACGACGAACGATGGAGCATCGAGGAGTTTGGCATGCATTTTGTTTTCTAAACGCCATTGGTTTATGTGTTCTCTATCTAACTGTACATGACTTACAACGTGACCGTCCATTGCCGCGCCCTGTCGCCCGTGTTCACGAGACTTTGTCACCCTATGGAACGCCCCATCGTGTGTCACAAGAGGACAGTATCACAAATCTCAGCGTTCCATTATGTGACGTCAACACACTCGACGGGCTACACAACTTCTCCAACCTCTACCTAGATTGGATTTTATCTGGAACCCGAAAACCTTTGACAAACTCTTGCACTTTGTCAATCAGGCCTTCTAATAACATACAGGACATTCGTGTCAAACGTTTTTACAAAGCTTATGACAAACTGAGACTGACACACCTACCTTTTAGTGAAACTTCTCGCGTCGATAGCTTGGAAAGCGGAATAGGCTGCGCAGCAAGGCGAAAGTTCACAAACCGGCAAGCTCTTTCGCATGGGATGCATAAATTTGCATATAGGGCCAAGTATTACGATCGCGATGTTGTGGTTAGAACACCGTTTATATTCAACACATTTTCCAAAGCATGTCTGTTGCAAGAGAAAAAGTCGCTACCCACATGCTACGCAGCATTGAGCCGGTTTTTCATAGAGGAAATTTGGTATCATCAAATATTGCGTCATACAAGTATCATTAAGGTAGGTTTTTTTACTGTGATTTCATCTATTAGCTGAATGGAGTTGTAATCACTCTCCATCATTGCCGCTGTGTTTTCGACATATCAGGCGACATTTCATCTGGACGTGTACCAGTATATAGAGGGCGCTATAGGCAGGGAAAGATTTTGGGGGACGAGGGGGGCAGCCAATGACGTTGCTGGCAAAATTTTAAATACAAATATTATTCATTAATTATCTGGAAATAATTCGGACTGGTTCATTTTTAACTGTAAGTTCCTTGTAAAATTATCCCGTCAAGAGAGACAAAATTATCCTAAGATTAATTACATTGTCATTGGCTTGGTAAACATATCCTCATTTATCATACTATGTACTTTGCAGTGTATTGCAAGCAACTATATCTTCGATCTCAACTTTTAGTTACTGGGTTTCTGCGTCCCCAACAAACTCTTTGACGGCACAGTGGACACGACAGTTACCATGGTAACTGAGGTGGGGGTACCTCTCCAACTGTCCAACATGACATGGGACCAGAAACTACAGGTAACTACAGGTACAGAAACTACTGGTTACTAAGTGTACAGAAATTACAGGTAACTAAATGTACAGAAACTACAGGTAACTGCAAGTAACCTACAGGTAACGTAATGTACAGAAACTACGGGTAACTAAATGTACAGAAACTACAAGTAACTAAATGTACAGAAATTACAAGTAACTAAATGTACAAAAACTACAGGTAACTAAATGTACAAAAACTACAGGTAACTAAATGTACAGAACCGACAGGTTACTTAATGTACAGCAATTATACAGGTAATTAAATGTACAGAAATTACAGGTTACTGTAAGTAGCAAAATGCTCAGAAACTACAGGTTACACAATTTACAGAAAATTCAGTTTTATTCAATTTAGCAAAGTGTCAAGTGGTCTTGAAAGGCGGTTATGTAAAATGTGCCATAAATGACCCAGACATATGGTGTGCACGTTGACTTTCTCAGAAATCTTGAAATGCAGCGTTAGGTGATATTGCATTAAAACTAAAAAAACTCAATAAAAAGAAGACCTTTTATGTATTATTCTCTAACTTGCAAAGGTGCTCCCTAAAACTAAAAGCTTCAAGTTCGAAAAACATCTTAATTTGGATTAATATCACTGTTTTGAAGTTATCAATTTTTTGTGTGTTCTTCACATTTTTCCTTACATGTCTTAATTTCAAGAACATTAAGTGAACTTCCAGTTGTAACTTATGGTCTGGTGTACTTTTATCATAATGTATTTAACACAGGCATCTTTTCATGTGAAAATGATTCGTTCTTCGCCTCTTAATACAGCCTAATTTCAGCAAGCACAATGGCTCGTAGCTACATTTGAGACTGAATAGGAAGTCTTGTGAAAGTTTTAAATATGAACATGCTTCAAAATCAGTTCGAAAGCTTGATAACTGTTGTTTCATAATATATTATAGTGTAAAATCCATTTAACATCTTCAGTAGACTTAAGGAAAATAAACAAACTTGATTAAATATCATGGTGATAAGAGTTCCAAGTGAGCTTTCTTCTTCATTATAGTTGGCATTACTATGTGGACTGGACTGATCTGAAAGTCTTGTGCCAGTTAGCGTCTGAAGTCCACATTAAAAGTAGCACTCGATTCAGATTTGTAAGAAATTAAGCATTTTAATATCGCATCAAAATTGATGAAAACCCTTTTTGTGCGCTGCCGCTGTAAACTGAATGAAAGAATCCTTTTTCTTGAGATTATGCAGTTTTTTTTGTTTTCCATTTAAATCAATGTGTTGCTATGAAGTCCCAATGGCTGAAAGCCCTAAACTGTGTTATTAACATTTTCCGATTGTTCATGTTAGCTGTTGTACATAATGGTAGTTGGCGGTGGTAATGTTGACAAAATAAACTATTTCATGCATCATTCTTTTGCTTTTACATCTGTACATTTAACAGCATTGCTGCCTCGCTTTGTTACAGTTCAGTTATGAAGTAGCGGAATTAATGGCCTTTGCCAGTCAACACCCAAACGGGTCAGTAGAATTTGGGGATTTTGCCCTGCACCAGTTTGTTATGGTGAAGAACAAGCCTCAGTTCGTGGATATGGAGGCTTTCAGAATCGGAGATATACCGTGTCACAGCATGGATGACTGTGCCTCAAAACACTGGAATTCACGAAAGAGAGCAATAAGGTAGAGCATAACACCCAGAGTATACGCCATTGTTTGATACAACTACATATACAAATATAATACAAAATACAATAATATGAATATATATGTATCGGCCCAGCCCTATGGGCTTACAAAGTCACCGGTTTTAACAAACTGGCCCTTCAGACGAGAAGATACACTGGTTGTCTATTTCCATCATGTAATGCGGTTATTTTCCTTGTTTGTTCCCAGGGTTCCATGCGTTAATGGTTTTTGTGTAGGACTGAATGAGAAACTAAACGTATGGATGTACAACTTTCGTCTACTAGAAAAATACATTCTGCCGGAAGCCCCACTCGCCTTCAGAGAGCAGCTGGACAAGATAGTGCGAAAAGCAGACGAAGGGAAATGTGGAATCGAGGTTATAAAAGATATACTGAGGAGAATGAGATTAGCCAGGCCTTATTAGCAGCTTCAAAGGGGCCGTAGCGATAGTCCGAAGGTTCAATAGTCCGAAGGTTCATTGGTCCGAATGTTCACTATAGAACCTTCGGACCAATGAACCTTTGATTAAAAAATCGATAAAAATGTTACCACTTTTCGGACCAATGAACCTTCGGACCAATGAACCTTCGGACTATCGAGACGCCCCCGCTTCAAAACACTGACAGACAGTTAAAACGTTTTTCATTAAAGATAAAAAAATTTACGAACAATTTGTATTGAAGGCCACAGTTTATAATTGTCAGAAAGCATCCAAACGTCATTGTAAATGCATTCTTGCGAGTCCTAAAGGTTTGTGCAAAATATGAAATAATGTACAGATTTACATTTTTATCCCGGTTATTTTCTTTATTTGTTAGTGAGCATGAAAGGATCATATGACCTGTGGTTCGTAAGTATTGTGGTATGTGAACAAACAGAACACCTGCTGCAATATAAACATTTATGGGAGCATGTAAAGTTCGTATGACCTGTGGTTGGTAAGTATTGTGGTAGGTGAGCAAGCAGCACACCTGCTGCAATATTAACTAAGTGAGAGAATTATTCTTGGTATCTCCCTTGCCTTAACATGCAACAAACCTAGAAAAAAAATATAAAATGAAAGAAAATATTTGGCACATGAGGTTCAACAGCAATACATTTGAAAACTGAAGAATGTCAATAGCTTTTGTATAAACAATCAGATAAGGCCAAATTTTGCAATTCAACCTGCCTCTGAGATCATTCACATCAAGATTAGCCGGGGTCTAGCAAGGCCGAGAACTAAATATGGCGGACCTACATGACAGGAACACAGCATAATCCTTAAATGGTCACTCAATGACATTCATTGAGAGACCATTAAAGGATTATGCCGTCTTCCTTTCATGTAGGTCTGCTATATTTCTGTCTCCACCCTGCTAGACCTCAGCTCTTCTCAATGTGAATGCTCTCTTTGTAGCAAATAAAACCACCTTGAAAATTGTAAGCACACATAGTACTCTCTGGTAGCAACTTGCCAACACAAGCAGAAACATACATATAGCATATCTGAGCTCGGCAGTGCATAGAAATTTTATTTTTCATAAATATTCAAATCAAATTTCATCTTTTGAGCTGGTTTAAAGCTCTCTAAATAAATCAATATCCTCCTGTTCCTGCTGCCTTCTACAGTCAACATTGTGATTAAGTCTGAGTTCACATGGACGATCAATATAGATGTCTTCATGAACATTTCAGTCTTTATTTACATGGCATATTCTCGCCAGCAATTGATAAAACAATACCATACAAAATAAACAGTAAGCACCAATTTTATATGTTCCATTATAAACAAGTCTGAAAAAACTGAAAACAATATACAGTCTGCCATTAAAAATTTTCCTGAAAAAGTTGAAATGTTTCATTAAAAAGTTCATCTTATTACCCGTTTCCAAAATCATCCAAAACACCCATCAGAGCAAGTCCCCGCTCCTGTCTTCCATATGTTGATCAGCCCCTTTTGAAGTTGCTATATTTGAATGGCACACACAAACACAGGCCAACAGCCTGAGAACGCAGGAGATAACTGTGTTTTAACTTTCACAAAAAAAAAAAAACTCATTTTACATGTATAAGTAATAAATATCTGTCACAATCATTTCTAGCACCTCCTGTTACACTGACTGTTCAGAGTTAGCCATCCAGCGAGTTTCTTCTCTGTAGCTGCGACAACAGCTGTTCCTTGGAGCATGGTAAAAGCCACTGCATGAATATACAGGTTGTGGCTGCCTGTCTACAAGAGATAAATGATATTTCTCTATAAGGCTAAGAAAATAAAACAGTCAGTGTCACTGAGGGTCATGTTACACAGCATCACAACTTCCCGCAAATACAAAACTGTAGATCCACAAAAAGAATTTTCCTCCCAAAATGCTTCACACCACAGCAATTACTGTAACATTATAGCTGTAGAATGCATGGTACTCTAGTCTTGTCTCTGTCTCACTTATTTCTTCACACCACTGCACCAACTGCGTCATCAGAGCTATAGAATGCATGGTATCCAAGTCTTGTCTCTGTCTCATTAGGTTCCTGTATCAGCTGTGTCTGTTTATATTCTGTTATAACAGCTAGGATGGATACCATAGCCAGGATCAGTAACACCACGATGATGACATAGAAGGGCCAGCCGTAAACTCTGTAGATATCAGCGCCCTCTGGTGGAGCCGAGTTTGCATGGGCATTATAACCAAATACAGCAACTGCAGATAACTGGAAGACAGCTGAAAGAAATCGGTCAGGTGTTTTACTCTTTACTATTAAACTATCTAAAGTTAAAATGTGCAAGTGATAGAAAAGTATAAATCATTGTAGGTCTAATGTAAATTATTGTAATGCTAAAAAGTTTAAAAAATAACACAGAACTGATGACAGCTGGAATTGAAACATCTTGAATTTCTTAGACTCCATGGATAAAATATGTGAAATATACTTGCTTCCCAGAAAAATAAAGAAAACTTGGATCCGTCCAAATTTTCTTTGTGCATGGAATTTGCAGGGCATGAGACACATGGCTCCCCCTACTGCCAGAAAACCCAATGACAGCACTTCAAAGAATTGCACCAACTTCAGATATGCTGAAATATCAATTTTGTACCTAAAACAATGAGTACAATTGCACTGAATACAGTTGCAGTTATTACAATCACACTGATTCACACATAAAGCGATTAGTAAAATCACACCATAAAATTCACAAAAATATCCAATTTCATCCCATGTTTAAACATATTATAAATAAATTTTGAGATAAAAATAACAATTTTCCTTTAATTTTATAAACAAACAATTTCCTTTGTTTTTATACAAGTTGTGATTATCCAAAAAAAAATGGCACTGAAACAGAAATTACTAATCCTCTTCTTATAACGAAGAAAAGCACTGTGCAAAGAAAGGGACAGGCAGGGATAACTTGATCCCAGACTTTTCATTCTAACAAATGTGTGGTGATAATCATAATAAAGATGTTCTTACTGAAGACCAAAGTGTTCATGTCCACAGTGATACACTCCAGTGTATATTGTCGGTCACACTGGACACAGCCAGTAAAGCAGACCCCCCAGGGGCCAAACTTCTGGTAGATGAAGTCCTGGTCAGCGGGAGTACTGTGTCCGAAGCCGAGGACCCAGGTGTCTTGAGTGACACTGATGACAGCCAACACAACAGAGACCAGGACAATACCTGCCTGGACAAGGTACAGATCAGCCTGGAATATACAAATATACTGGGTCATTTATTATTAAAGTTCCCCCCACCCCCCTCTCAGCTGGTCCAGGTACAGATCAGCCTAGAAAATAGAATATATATAGCTGAGACAATTATTAATAAAGTTACTCCCCCTCTCTCCCTCTCGATCAGCCTGGAAAATAAAAATATACGCAGTCATATGTAAATATGCCCCCCCCCCCCTCCGGATTGGTGGATCTATAGCTACATGTATGACTACCTTTTAATATAGAGAAATTAGGAAAGTACTCAGTAGTGTAAGTTATTGCAAACCAGGTCTAAAATATATCTACCAGTAAAACGTGCCCACTTCTCTATCAGCCGATCCCTAGCCAAATTCTCTATCATTCACATTACCCCAAATCCAGACCAGCAAGGCTAGAACGGTGAGCACTTCATCCATATCGTATTACAACAGAACTGTTACGAGAGAGAGAGAGAGAGAGCATTTTACCCACCATTGTATGAAGACGTGCACCTGTTGTATACGGTCTAGGAACACCGTCAGTAAACAGACAAAAGCGGTGCCCGTAATCTGTGCCAATGAGATTCTTATCACGTCGCCAGCATCCTGTTTGGCACGGGCGGAAGACCTCTTATCTCCTGGTAGATCGTTTACGGAGCCGTATCATAAGATCTCGGGAAGTAAATCAAAATGGAAGAAATAAAGTTTGCCAGTGCCTAGATTTCCTGAAAATATTATGTGTGATGCAAATAGTGCCAATTTCGACCCGAATGATTTCTTCTAAACGTGAAAGCGAAATCAAAATAAACAGCTGTAGAATACCGCTAGAGGACACCGTTATTTATCAAGAAAAGACACACCCCATGCCTCGTGACTACTTTATTCCATATAGACACTTCTGTTGGGACAAAATATCAATTTACTGATAATATTTATCTTAACATGTAGCAAACTGCCAAACAATGCTTCACCTTTAAGTGGAAGCGGATGTTATTTGCTTGTCTTGGACGAAAACAAAACAATCCAACCCCCAACATCGCGAGCTTCAACTCCGCGTCTGAGATAGTTATGTAAAGTAAGTACGCTTCTTCTTATCCTAAACTTTCCAAACGACAAGATGAATGGTTTGGTGAATTGCACAATATATTAATGTTTGATATATATTGATGAAATTAAGTTTATCCGACTACAACAAGAAGTAGGGAAAGTGTAAACATGGTACCGTGATAATTTTCTGTGAAGCAGGAAGTTCCCTGTAACAGAATATTTTCAGCTGTTTGCGCACCTGTTTACTCTCTCTCATATGTTCTCTACGTGTAAACACAAGTGGTGAGACAAGAACCGTAAATAGAAGTGCTATTGCCAGAAACTTCTTACCTGAAGTCCCCGGCGTGACTGAACTTGATTTCCATGTACTGAGTAGGCTGTAGCATGATCCAGAGTGCAGTCATAGTAAATATCTTGGATGATCAGGCACAGGTGTGAGATATGAAGAATAATTCTGTTGCTGTGTGTTTCTGTTTAATCTGTAGATGTTGCTGTAAACTTTACATATTTATTGTTTCACAATTTGGCAAGTGGCACGTGCATTTATGGCATATGTAGTTGTAATAAACTTTGTGGACTTTGTGTAATGTGTTCTTAATTTAATATTTATATGATTTATATGTGTACTGTATCTTGTTTGTGAAGGTTCGATCAACAAATTGCTAGGGTTAGCTGAAAGAGTTGGGGTTGGTGCTCTGGGTACGTACATCTGTAGCAGACTCCCATATTTTCATCTCATTTTAAATTATTGAAACTGTGTGTGTGCCTGCGTGTGTGTGTGTGTGTGTGTGACAGTTCATACATGCCCATGTTTGTAATTCATGTTTGTTGCTGCATATGATCCATATTACATTAGTTGTTTGGTATAGATTGTACAACTAAACCATCCATTTGTGTCATCATATAGTTCATGTTGACTTGTGTGCATGGTTATTATATATATATCAGTTCATCTGTGAACATTCTTCTTTTTCCAGTAGAGCTTCCAACAGGCCAGTAAAATAACCTCCAACTTAAAATGAAGAAGTCATCAAAGAATTCTTCAGCAGCTAAAGGAAAGGCAGAAAAACTTCAGCTGGGAATTGATCTGACGGAAGCTGCTCTGCTTGAACTAGATTTCCTGGCTTGTGTGAACCAGTTCCAGAGTTTATATGGTGGACCTGTAGTCAGGCGTGCCATCCAACGATACGAAGAATTATGGCTGCCATTTGCTGCAAAGCTACAAGCCCAAGAAACTATCAAGCAGAAAAATGTAAAGCTTGCGGCTCCTCTTGACATAGCCTGGGTGTGGCACTGCCACCTGCTGGCCCCACTCAAGTACACAGAGGACTGCATGGCTCTTGTCAACTGTGTTATCCACCATCATCTGCTCAGTGAGAAAGAGAGAAGTGCCTCTTTGCTGAAGACCAAAAGTTTCTGGATAATGGAATATGGCCCGGATGTTCCGTTTGAGGTGGACTTGACAGATGAGATTTCACCGGCCTTTGATTACAAAACTAAATGCTCTTATGGTTTAGAGTCTGCCATTGAAAGGCAGCGTGTGTTCTATTACCAGGTGGCTCTCCCCCACTATAGGAGCCAGGCCTTGTTGAAGAAGGCTGTTCAGCGTTATAAAATGTACCTGTACCTGAAACAACAAAACCCTGATGTCTTTCTTGTCCCATGCTATGACATTGATCTTATATGGCATGCACACCAGGTACATCCACACCTCTACCAAGCGGACACTTCGGCCATCTTGACCAAAGTGCTAAACCATGATGATTCTGTTAATGATCGTAGTGAGGGATCTAGGCTCAACAGAGCTGACGAACTGACTCGTAGACTTTGGCAGGATTTATTTGATGAAAGCTTCTCCCAGCCAGGTTGTATGTTCCGCGGGCTGCCACCAGAGGGCAAGCTGGTTGCCATGACAACTGCACAGGTCAGCAGTCTCACCTCCAAATACACACATGTCACCATCAGTGAGGCAGTTGCCACACCCCTCCAACCCACCATCAAAAAGGGGAAGGTCAACATTTTCCTGAGTGCGCTTCCTTTACGCATGGTGCCCTCTGAGTCTGCCTTCAAGGCTGCACGCAAGCGCATTGTATCGTTGAAGATACCAGCCGGCAGTTTTAAGCCAAAGCATTTCAACTACGACACAGGGAGACATCCATATGTTATCCTCCAGGCTGTGAACACTACAGGTGCAGTGTGTGGGTGTGGGGGGGAGGAGATAGGGCTCAGTGAGTACCCACTAGGAAACCTAGTAGAGGAGGAACATGGGAAGAACCACCATCTTTCTCAGACGGTTACCTTCCCTGAGGAGATGAACATCCAACTTGAGCTGGACATTGGTCAGCTGCAGCAGGGTCCAGCTGTCCTGCATGTCATGGCTGGACACTTTGAGAATGCTGTGATGCCAGAGAATATAGAGGCCATGTGGGGTCCCATACCACTGACTGCTCTGCCTCCTGGTGTACAGAATACTTGTGTGGTGGCATCACATAGGTAATAATAATAATAATAATAACATTCCTATATGGCGCCTTACATTCTATCTCAAGGCACCTTACAATAATGGATAATATACTAAAATAATTAAAATAGGTGAGATGTTCACTTTGATATATCTCTTGTTGATGATTTTATTTGTACAGTGTTAGGTCCTTGTTGTTATTTGTCAGTTGTTTTATTTTTGTTTTAAAAGTTAAAATGGGAATTTTTAAAGAAACTTGAAAATCAGTCACGGTAGCAATGTAAAACAGGTGGTAATATAATTTTTGAAACATTTTTAGAAATTGTAAGTTGACAGGGTATCCAGTTGTTTTTTTTTTCATTTTATCTGACATATTTTGATATAGATATATATTTACTGTAGGATATTCAATCACCTTCATAAACTGTGCTTCACTTGCCGCATTATCCACTGTATTCCTCTGTTGATGTCTGCGGTGCAGGTGTTCTACGGGGACAAAATGGTGGCTGTGTCTCATCTAATTGGCACTGACCAGTTACCAGGCAAAGCTCAGGTCAGAGGGTTAGAAATAGTTCATTGAATTTGGCAAATTTTTTTCAGTTTTCTAGTCAGTGAGACAGATCAAATACACGGACAAGATTTTTTTTTCTTTTTTTTTGTAATTGAGGTTTTTGCAGAACCGAGAATTAGAATTATTAAAGCAATAAATATAAAGCATAAATTCAAATCTTTTATTCATGAATTTGATTTCTTAACTTTTATTTTTAGTCATATTTATCAGTTGGTTTGATTTCCAGTTGAGGAAAGGTGACAGTCAATACTGCACTCTGGACATAGACAGTGCAGAGAGAGCTATGCTGATCAAGAATACCCGCGGAGACTGGGCCATAGTGAGAGGGAAGTGGGTGGGATATGTAAAGGGAGTTCCTGGAGTGCCTGGTAGGTGGTAGCACCAGTAATGGTTTAGACTTCTCTCTAGTAAGTAAAATTCCTCTCCTGAAAAATATTTTTGGTGTTTTGTACAGGATACCATCATATTAAGTATAGATAATATCACAGTAAAAAGGTGAATCTTTTATGCATCATATCTTCAGATACATGTCATGTTGTGATTTTCACACGGATGTCAAAAAGTTATTGTCTTGGAAAACCCATGCATATGATTTTTTTTTTTTTTAACGTGTTTCCTTGTTTGTGCACCAACTTTTTCCATAAACAACTTATGCTTAATTCTGCACATGTCATGCAGCATATGAATTATTTAACCCTAGGTGTCCCTGGTACTCAAGACAACCCTGGGGTGCGGGGAACTCCTGGTGTAAAAGGCAGCCCAGGTCACCTGACTGTCATGTGCTATGATTTGGTCCATGGCCAGAAGAATGCGCCACCAGTCGTCCAAGTCCCAGCTTCTAGAGCCTTTGACTTCACAGTGAGAGATGTGTACGCTAACATGTCCACCAGTCAGATCAAGATAAGTGCAAGCACTAACGAAGTTGCTGAGCACCTGGCGTTAGCTTTCTCAGTGTCCATGCTCCATGTGCTGTGTCAGCCGCGCCCCTACCCAGAGTCTGGGATTGATTCCCAGGGAAAACAAGTGTTGAAGATCGCACCACCAGGATATGCCAAACTGAACAACATGAACTACGAGGAGCTGACCTTCCTGGTTGCCGCGGGATACCTGACCTCCACTCCCTGCAACTCCTATCTGAAGACCCACGTCAACAGTGGGGGGTGTGCAGGGTGCTGTGGGGGAGGGGAAGGTGGGGCCTGTGGGGGGTGCGGAGGGTGTGGGGGGTGTGGTGGATGCGGAGGGTGTGGGGGGTGTGGAGGCTGCGGGGGATGTGGTGGGTGTGGGGGGTAGATGATTCTTTAAATAATGGGGTGGGAGAGAGAGCTGGAAGTGAAGGCGGGATAGTGGCTGTAGTTTTAACACCAGTCTACACTTTGTATATATATGAAAGAGAATTTTGTACAAGAGTACAAGTACCTTGGTAGGTGAAGCAATATTGAGATTATTAGCAATTATAACAGATGAATTTGTTACCAGGTATATAGCACTTTAGGGTCATTGTCCCACATATCATAGTCTGTCCACCACAGCCTTGACAAATGTCTTTGATACTAATCTTGTGTCGTGAAGTGTTTTATTCCAGTCATGTGTCAGGTAGTAAAAGGTGTTTTAAATCTTTTAGATTTCCTGGGTCCAATTTTTACATGATATTAATGTACATTAGCACACCAATGATGGCAGATTGTAATAACAAGATATGTTGACTTAGTTTACAAAGTGGAGTAGTTAGACATTACCACTTTACCACATTGAGAAATTGGGGGAGGGAGGAAGCTGGAAAAGGACAGAATGACATAAGTTGTGTTGGTTGATATTGTTTTATTTTATTACATATTTTTTATATTATTATTTTTTAAGCCCTAAGTTGGTCTAGCCTACCCCCCCCCCCCCCCCCCTTTTACCTGTGATCCGGTTGTATGATTAGTTCTGTTAGTTACTGCTGAGCTCAGAACATTCTCACCATGTGTCAAATATTGTGGCCAAAAGAAGAACAACAGACCAGACAGCCATGACATGATGTTAGCATGAAATTCATTCTCCTCAACTTGGTTTTCTGATTGCAGAGTCCTCTAGCATTGATTGTGGAAAACTTAGTTTTGCAAGACTGTTGTCCTAGTTTGTGTTCAGGTGAGATGTCTGAAAATCTAAACCCAGCCATTGCCTGGTATCATTCAAGTGTATCAGTACAGGACAGCAGGACAAAACACAGCTATCATATACCCACATGTACATATTTGGGCTTTTTAAAGCACTCAGGTGAAAAAAAAACTTGCATTTCTTTTTTTGGCTAGTGTATGTGTTTATCAGGAGAGGGAGGTGTTGAACAGTTTCATGATTCTCAAGTCTGACAGTTTGAGGTATTGAGCTTACTATAATATGTGATATATTCAAGAACAAGAATACATAATTTTTGTTATCTCTTTTCTATTATATTTATCATCTTTTGTGGTTGATTGTACATTTTAAACTTACAAATAAAGCAACTAAATGCCCTTAAATGTTAGAAGCAACAAAAGCATCAGTGTGTTATTTGTCATGAGATTGGTTCGCATTGGGTCATATTTTTGGCAGAAGTTTTTGAATCCTGCATAATATCCATTGCAGACCACTGCATTCATGCACTGTTTGTACACGTTGTTGTATGTGATGATGTTTGTGATAAGAGAGTGTTATTGTCAGGAATTTTCCTGTCTATGTTACAGTTCTATTCACTGGTTTTATTTACAGTAGATGGGGGTACATCTCAAGTGTTGTTGTCAGATAGGAATTTTACTGCCTACGTTAAGGTTATACTAAGTAGGTTTTATTAACCCTAAACGGAAGTATATCCCCGATGTTATTGTTAGGAATTTTACTGCCTAGGTTAGGGTTATACTCATTGGTTTTATTTACCATAAATGCAAGTTACGTTTTATAAATATTTGTGTTTAACTTCCTGTGGCCTGTTTAAGGGTTAGGGTTATTTTGATATCTTTGTTATCTCACTCTTTATTTTTTATATGAATATGGTTTAACTTAGTGTTAAGTTTGTAGTATATTTTTTTTAGTTTAACCCAGAACATAGAAATAAGATAGTGTGTCGGTTCACATTTTATTATTCTAGGAATGTTTTTCACAGAACAAAAAGTGTCATTTGCCCTTGGTTGTGAGCACTGTGACTTAGAAAAAATGTGCAGACAAATGTTTATCACAATATCGTTATTTTATGCACCATTGCGGGTAATGGGTCACTGAGCATACAAAGCTTAATTATATTGCATCAAGGAAGAGGGTTTAGTATGTGTGTCTTCTATACCATATGTGATTTAATGCGTCCATGAAGAAGACACACTAATACAATCACATTATAATGTAAAGGTATTTGATGAATAAAGTACAAATGTTCACTGGCGCTTATCAAATTGCTAGTGTAGTCTTTCAGCAGTAAGAATCTTGATAGGGCTGGCTTAGTTGCTGAAGATATTTTGTCTCCACATTTATTAGGGTGTCTTCATGTCGTGTGTGAAGTTATTGTACACAATCTTATTTGTGGATTTAAAGTCTGACGTCACACTATGTTGATCTATGATGTCACAATGCCCAATGATGCAATGGTCATACTGGAGTTGTAGTGCTTGCACGGTGGTTTATGCGCGCGCAAGCCAATTCTGAAAACAGCCAAGAGTAAACTGAGCACATAAACAGACCAAAAAACGAAGATTAAATCGTGTTTTTGACGAAGGATATATACACCTTATGGTGACGATTATTTGATATTTAAAGTTTTAGACACCATTCTGATATCTCAACTATTTGATATTTTACTTCGGTTAATTTGCACCTTTAAATTTTACAACAAATTTTTTTCTCAGATGTGTAGAGTAACTTGACCGAACGCAAAAGTGTATTTCTTACAGTTACATATGCGCAACATTTGAAAGAGAAAAATGGTACAAGAACACTTCTACGAACCATTCATGGCATATATATCACTTTTTAATGAAATAGGGAAGACGTTGAGCATATCAAGTTAGTCGACCAAAAGTCGTGTACTGATGGCGATTATGGCGCGAGAAAACATTTATTCCAAGAATACCAGTTAGACGAATTTGACTTTTTGTATCTATTTATTTATTTTATTACTATTTTTTTTCTGAAAAAAAAAAAATACTGCAAAATGTCTAGGCCTTATAATTTACAGTTCCTACCTGTATGTACATTGGCATGTATTTCTTTAAGAAATGACATCTCTGCCGAGGAAAGACGGGGGAATACACTCTTGGCACGTGAACATTTTGAGGAAAGTTAAGATTTATGTTAACATATATATTAATATGTATACAGAGATAGATAGTATAATACTGATGCGGTAATGACGTCATGAGGCCATTTGAAATGGGCACATTTTGATGGTGGCTCCATCTGGCGATCAAATCTAACACTCTGCCCTTGACTGTGTTCTAAGACCTAACGGCACATCGGAGTAAATAGCAGTGTCTTCCACATTTAACTGCTAAGTAGTTAATAAATATCACTTCAAAGTAATTTTTCTAGAGGTATGGTGTCACTACTTTGATAAGTTCCCTCGACTGTGCATAGATAGCGACCTTGCTTTGCACTGTACATCTGTACAAAACTTTCACATCACTTGTCAATATTTGCGCCAAAACACCAAAGCTCCAGTCTGTTAACACTGTGATATTGGCGCTTCTTCCCCCGCCTGATCTGTTAACATCTAAAGGATAATATTCTCTGTGACGCGTCATTAATCTGCGTTATTGTATAGTCATCGCCTAGGTATCCGCCTTGTGTTTTTCCTGTTAGGGGGCGTGCGCATGGTGCTCCAGTCGATATTCAGGATTCTCCGTCTCGGAGTTCCGGGGCGGCCAGACGCCGTGTCCCTACTCACTCCGTACACACAACTGGGCGCCGTGTCCCTCCTGGTTAACAAGCGGTGGTGAGAGACCGACTCCTCGGCTGGTTCACAGGTCGGTGGTCGAGGACTGCTAGCCTCAGGTCTGAGGAGCGTTCGCCCCTGTGCTACAACGGCCTCTTGGCGACCTTGGAGTCCCGCCAAACGGCTGCGGTGTCGCAGTGCTGGCGCCGGTGGGCGTTCCCTTACACCCGCGGAAATGTCGGCTTGTGATAGTGGCGTTGGCGTATTTTCGCGGTTTTGAAGCTCGGAGTTATATGAATTTAATGCGCTGATGTTTGGTTGGTCTGAATTTGGCGATGACTGAGTACCACTAGGCGTCTGTAACAATCTTGTTTGAGGGAAACTAGATCGGGTATAAGAGGCTCCGTTATTTCTTCGGGAATGATCCGGTCTCCCGCCCCGTGGCGGCGTTCCTCTGGCCTGTCTGCCAGTCAACGTGGTTGTCATAGCGTCCATTTGCCTTAACAGTTGGTCATCGTGCTGTGTTGTGGATTGCAGCACAGTTCTTTGCTGTCTCACCTCCTGATTCACGGAGTCTAACAAGGAAATCAGATTGTTGGCCACTTGCGCCAGATGTCGGCCTATCTGGTTGACTTCTTCCAGGTTCGCGTGGTTTTGAGCCTCTCTCTCGCGATGAAAATCTTCCAATGATCGCCGACCGCGCTCGAGCTCGTGGTGGAAATTTCCCATCATGCTATTCAAGCGCGCGCGCCCGTGCTGTAGCTGTGCACGCATCTGCGTGAACCTCCTCTCACGCCGCAGACGCTCATTACTGATGTCAAACTGATACATATTTGCCCGGGTAACATCGGGAAGGGAGACATCTTGGACTGAGGAAGAGCTCGTGGTTAAATCGGTAAGGCTGCCACTGTGACCTGTATCTGTTCCTCGCTGATGTGCCCCTTGCCCTGACGGTCTATTGATGAAGGGGACATCTAGAATATCCTGTCCAAAATTATTGAATTTGTCAAAACCATGCCGGTGTGTGAGGTAGAACTTGAGAGGTCCCCTCCATTTGCACTTTTCGTCAAGGCACTGCACTCGCTTCTCCAGCAGTTCAGTGTTTAGTTTGGTGTTCTTGTGATACGGTCCCGGGGCCCTGCAAACCGGGCACTTGTCACAGTTAGCTCCTGACGTCATAGACCACGCAAACAGACAACTGGCGCAAAAATTGTGTCGGTTACGGCACTGTCTGACGTCATTGGCGACCAGGAAGCTGAAACATAATACAGAAATGATATTCATTCATACATATAGCGGCTTGTTCGTTCATTTATTCCTTTATTCATTCTTCTTCGAGTCGGAATACATGCGCCTTATTTGTTCAGGCGCCTTATTCGTTTAGGCTTGGATTTGATAGAAATATTCATCAAAAGAAACGACGTTTGTTCCTTGACCAGCGCATATACTTGTAGGATTAGTAAACATGATAATAATTCCAAAATCAGTCGAATCTTTCATTTCGTACGTCTTCTTCTATTTTGCCATGGACCGACCATCCCCTGTGCTCAGAAAGAATCTACGTGAAGCTGTGAAGGGGGGGGGGGGGGATGTGTGGGAATGATCTGCTGTAGGTGTATTTTATCACTAGCCCGTCCTGGTATAGCCAAATGCTTAGGAGGGCGAACGTAAACGTTATCACTTTCACATGTTATTAAAATTACTAGCAGTCACAAAGGCATATGATTTCTCTTGTGTCGCAGTGATTTTTTCTCCTAGAGTCAACTGCAAATTTTCCAGGAAAATCCTGATTTCCTCAAAGTTAGGGCCCCCGAGCTCGTTTACTTATTTATCACATTTGTGATTATAATTACACAACTTGAGTCACGAATAAGATAAACACATAAATGTTCTCTCTCTCTCTCTCTCACACACACACACACACACACACACACACACTCTCACACACGAGAACTTGGCGAACATAGAGCGTGATACATCAGCATTGGTAGTAGTAGTAGAAGGTTACATTCCTACCATATTGCACATTCCGCCGCTTCTCTTTCTTCCTCATTTAGCTTCAGGAACAGTTCCTCCGGCAGTCCGCCAACCTTAATTCCGGCCGGTATGAGGATAGCGTCCAGCACGTGCTGATAGCCCCCACTTCCCTCCATCCTTACCTCAAGTGGTCATGTCACTGCGGTGGAGAACGCTGTCTCGGGGAGTAAATTGTAGAGCAGTGTCTTAAGGTGGTTTCGTCGTTGTGAAGGCCGCCATTTTGTTTTTAGATTGATTAAAACGCGTCAATGGAAGTCAAGTAGCCCTGGGAGAGCGGTCTGTTGTTGACTTGCTTTTCAATAGCGCACAAAACAAATAGCGTAGCTTATTGATTTCTTTGCGCGCTGCTGACATCTGGCGGGCCACTGGGGAGTGGCAACAGAAGGGTCATATTCAGATAAAATTATCAGGTTGACGGTCGGTTGTATTGATAGCCTATCTGAATTGCGTGTGTTTGGATCGGTGAACTTATAATGATCGTGATCATGGTTGGACCTGTCGTTGTTCTCTTTCCATGTTGGATGATTGTAGGAGGCATTACAGTAGTAAAGATGTTAAAATTTGGAGTAACTCGAATTCATTTTAATGAATTTCAAGTTTTGCGACTGTAGCCACATTGGTATTTAAAACTGCATGGGACTGTGCCGATAACGTATCGGTCTACAAGGGAGCCGCTCGGCAAGCAGCAACTGCAGTGACACTGAAAGGGATCCGTGCGGTCACTTTTCTACCGACAACCAATTTTTACCTACCTGGTCTCAAGTTTATGTCGGAGAAATGCACCCGCGCCTAATAATAACGTAGCTGCCGTAGCCGGTATAGCTACTAACGGTGCCAAAAAATCGTACGGAAAATTGTATACAATTTCCTCGTCCAGCACCAGTGGCAAATGTAATGTAGGCTTTACGTGATAGCTTTTTTCTTTATGGTATAGACCCATTTTAAAGGACATATTTCTCTTTATAGACGGATTTTTATTTTAAAGTCGTCCGGTAGCTTGGTTGGGTTTTTATTATTTATTATTTTCGATTTATTTATTTATAATAATTATAAAGGAAAACAATGTTGGATAAAGCGACGATCAATTCAGTGAAATATTTTCGAACAAATCTCTACATTAGCAGAGTGCCACTAACTGGAACTTTTCTTACACCAGTTCGGTGTCCAGACTATTTGAGACAGCGAGTTTCCTGTTGAATGTACTACCAGAGAAACTATATTTCAGACAGCCTCCTTTAAGATGTAGCCTATTCTTCTTTTGGCGAGCGGTGTTCTCCCAGGTGGAGGCTGGGAGGCGGAGGTACCGTACCTCCGTGATAATTGTGTTAGACTGTGTGGACTCTCTGCGAGTACTCCTCACATAAGCAAGGTTGTCGCAATGAATATAACCACAATTAGAATACACAGATATACTTGCGCCATATGGCTGCCACTTTGCACCTAGAGGAATGAGAAAAGGAGAGACCCTAACGACAATATATACCCTGTAGGTACTAGAACGCTTCAGATTTTATTTTAAAGTGGTCTGAATTTGGGAAAATGATTATCTTTGCACAATTAGAATATGAATGTGGGGCATGTTCAAACTCGAGCAGATTATAGTTTTTTCATCATGTATGCTATTCTATATAATATTGTAAGACTGAAGCTACAAACTTCAGAAATGAGGCTCCCCATCAGTCCACCGCTGTTCAGTCCTGCACACACCCTCCCCACCCCACCATTCTCGTATATCTTTGTACCAAGTTCGGTGGTTTTCTGCCTCGTGTACCATGGCACAGAGTCGGCAGAAAAAATGAGTATTTATTTTCTTCATGGAACCCTTCCAGCGAAAGTACTCGTTGTATAAGTGGTCGTTTTTATCCAGTTTGTGTAAATACTCGGCCAGTTCCTTTGCTGACCTGAAGTCTTCCACGTGGATATAGGAGTGCGGAGGTGCTGCCCTCTTGTAGTCATCTGGATGCGCCCCCATTGCGATGGGGATAACGTCATTACCCAGTCCATTCACAAAGAACTTCTCAGTGATGTAATCACGACAGTTTGAGTTTTCAAACGACAAGTAAAATTTGTAGTCGTTGCTTAGCATGTTGTAGCACTCAGCGGAGAATTTGGGACATGTCTTAGACCCACAAGGTCCATAAATGTCCACCTCGATATATTTTGCTAGTTCTTTGACGTAGTCTTCCCTCTTGTTATTAGACTTGCATCTGCTGGCGAACCATGCCACTTTCTTTTGTTTCCCCGAGGCATAATTTTTCAATGTCCCCTGTTTTAGAGTACCATATTTGTGAGGCACGTATTTCTCGTACGGGGTTACGATGGTGGAGTCATGCCGATAGGTGGCAGTCCAGTTAATCCGATCACCCAGAGTGACAGGCATTTGCCAGTATTTTGGTGATTCAATCCCCCACATCACCCACACCTGACCCTGTGGTTTAACCGATGGAGTGTGCGGATGTCGTCCGCCCAGAACAACAGCGTCCGCTTTTGATGAATCCTTCTTATCTCCAGTCAAATAACACGTTTTCACGGGACAGTCTTCCGAGAGAAATTGGACTTGGCCTGGTTTTACGAACTTCGGCAGGCCATTAAACAACAGAATTGTCTTTAAAGCGGGTTTAGGGGTCTTTGCACCGCGTTTATCGCCCACATTCGGAGGTCTGGGTACTAGAGGGGCGGCAAGACTCATTTGTGAAATAATCCTGTCGTCATTTGCGTATTTAGTTTCAAACCAAACATGATGGTGCATGTTTTCCCCATACGGCTCTGAGGTATTAAGCTCTTTCAAAAGCAGCCGAGGGTCAAACCTTACTGCCCGTTTTCTCCCCACAGGAGTCTCCCTGATCGCAAACGTCGTGGCAACTGAATTATCGGCATCTGTTTCTCGTTTGACTCTCACGTGATTCTTGTGCACGTGACCAGGTCTAAAGTCTTGTCGGTCGCCAAGTGGCTGTGAACAAAAAGATGTTGAGCTCGATCAAAATCCTCTGACAGGTGTTTCATTTCCGCTTCCCAAATCGAATTCCCAAAATTGAAATCGAGGACAAGCATCACACCTACCCAGAGGCAGACGATGACCGTCAACGAGCGTTTTAGGCGGACAGCCATTTTCGCCATCTTGGCCCTGCTGTTGGCCTCCACTTTGTTACAGTTTAGCTGGAATAGTCAAAGGCGATATTTTGAGTTTTAAAAATTGAATATACCCTGTAAAGTAGGAAATGTTACACTTTTTATGAATAAAATGCACTGACATGTAGGCCTAATTCATTGAAGGGGCGCGTCGAACATATTTTTTTCTTTTTCTTTTTCTTACAGAAAATTTATTTTTCACGTGTACATTCAATTTATTACCCAGCTTAAAGAATATTTTGTCCTTATGCTCTTACTATTCCCTTACACCCCATTTAAAGAGAAAAAAGTTATTTACAGACATAATACTACATAAATGATATAAAATGACAGTGGGATGTTAAAGTTTACACGGGAAGCTTACCTTGGCCTCCTCGTATTAGTTGCTTATATTTTGAACAAAGTTAATTTCTCGTTTACTGTATGTGTTTCATAGGAATCTTCTTACCCCACAATAACAAGGACTGTCGCCGATACTTGTCATGCTACTACTCCGTGGAGATGTTATCCGGGTTTGTGGTTCCTTCTACAGTCGAATACGCCCTTAACAATTAACTACTACCACGACGCACAGACCAAGGGTAGCGAATTTTACGTTTGCTGTATTACCGAAGGACATTATGGGGAAATGTCCCTCTTCCCTACGCCACGTAGGCCTAATAAACTCCACTCTAAATGGCCCCTAATATATCATATTAACATCAAGATGTGCCTTGATTAAAGCCACGTGCTCTCTGGGTGTCAATCTTTCCTCCCCTGTCACAGCTAATTGTTGTCCCCAGGCATTTTTTAATATAGGAAGTCATATATCATGTCTCCCCTCTGGGTCTCACTAACTCTCTGGCAGACCAAACTACGGGTTCACGGTCCGTTGTGCTACAGGAAAACTGATATTTTTAATGCTCAATCTAATAACTAAGTTACACAGAAATATTTTGATTTTTGTTTCCAGGTTGCCACTGGACAGTTGATGAGTATAAAGTTTTTAAAAGTGATCTTTGCATTTACATATGGTAGATGAAGGTTTGTGAATACTGAGAGTTGTGTGATCATTACCTCTGGGCAACGGCGAAAGCTAACATGAAAGTTATCACAGAAATGCGTGCACTTGGCGTGGGTATCTGTAAAACTGTAATACTCGTAAATACGTAACAAAACGTCATGTATAGTCTGTGGTCTATGGGGAGGGGTTGCTGTCCATACTCAGGGTTGAATGTATACAGCATTGCGTTTAATCTCCATTTCTGAAAATATTATATGTGCTAAGGTTGTGAAATTGGAATGATACGATGAAGTCTGTATAGTCAGGGCCGTAGCCTGAGCAAAATGCCAGGGGGGGCAGTAAGCGGACACGAGGGGGGAAAGCCCCCGAAGGGGGCGGGGGNGGGGAGGGGTTGCTGTCCATACTCAGGGTTGAATGTATACAGCATTGCGTTTAATCTCCATTTCTGAAAATATTATATGTGCTAAGGTTGTGAAATTGGAATGATACGATGAAGTCTGTATAGTCAGGGCCGTAGCCTGAGCAAAATGCCAGGGGGGGCAGTAAGCGGACACGAGGGGGGAAAGCCCCCGAAGGGGGAGGGGGTGTCCCCCTACCAGTGTGGAAAAATCTAAATCCCCGGGGGGGCAGCTGCCCCCCCTGCCCCCCCCGGAGGCTACGGCCCTGATAGTTCCCTTTGATTATTTATTCCTCCTTACATAGTAAATAGAAAGTTAGCAGCAACGTTAACGAGTTTCAGTGTGTTTGTTACCCACAAAATATTTATGCACAGGTTTCTGAATAAAGACAAAGCCTATATAAATTGGCAATAAATATGTGTGTGTGTGTGAATTTGCGTGTCAGTGGTGCGTGCGCGCGTATGTTTGCGATGTGTGTGCGTGCATGTATTTGAGTGTGTGCTTGGTCCGAATATGTTTTGCTCTGAATATATCTTTAAGGCGATTACATGAAACTGACGTCTCAAAGGCTTAAAAAAGAAAAGCAGTCCATTGACAACATAGTGTTGAACAAGATTAAAATGTTCAATTCTGTTTCTTTAACCTAAACAATGATACTTAAGGCATCATACATGTGATGGCATCTTCTGCCGACGATATGTGGTGGTAAACGTTTTCCTCAAAAAAAAAAAAAAATATATATATATATATATATATATATATATATATATATATATATATATATATATATATATATATCGGAATAAAAGCACGTTTCGAGGGTTATCAAAGGTTAAGCATGTGTACACCTGTAACTGTTAAAATTCAATACTCTCTCTCCCTACCCCAGAATTTCTCTTTCTCTCCCACGTGCACTTTCTCTCTCTCTATCTCATACACGCATGCACACGCTAGCTCTTGCTGTCTGTCTCTGCTCTCTCGCACACACATGCTCTATATATTTCTCTCCCCCCACACACACACTCTCTCTCTCTCTCTCACACACACACACTATATATATTTCTCTCCCCTCCCCCACA